CTGCCTGGTTCTTGCTTGTCTCTCACACCTTTTGTTTGTCCAAACCGCCTTCTTAGTTGTTAGTGGCTCCTGGTAGTTGAGGGAGGATCTCGGAGGGGAGGATCTCAGTCAGCACCTAGATGCTGGCTGATTGGAAGCCAGACTCTCACACAGCAGCTTTTAAAGTACTGTGCCAATATACCTGTTTCAGAGGAAGACTGGGAGGTGGCTGTTTCTGTCTGATTCCTCTGCACTGAGCCCTGGAGTGACAGCTACTTAAAACTGTTCGCTAAAATCCTGTAGAACCTGTGAACACAAGCCCCACTGACCACGAGAGCCAGGTGGTCAAGGGGTGTCCTCTGGATGGCAGCAGCAAAAACCAAGGTGCCAAATGTGTGTACAAGCTCCTTCCTGAGAGATACCGGTGACTTGGAGCGAGGCAGAGGGAGAGTGGACAGATGGCGCCCACTGCCTTCCCAGTCCCTGGGGAGTACTGCAGTCAGCCCCTTGATGTGTGTTAAATTAGAAGCCCAGCCCTCAGGCCCGTGTCTATTAAGAGAAACTAATAGTCCTCTTTCACAGAAGGACTGGTTTTATTGTGCTGCCTCTCATGGGCCCCAGGGCCTTTGTCATGATGAGAGCACGGGAGTCCTGTAAAAACCGTTTGTTCACTACAGCCTTGTGGGTCTTGTGGAGGCAAACCCAGTTGGCTTCCAAAGCTAGTTGTTTGGAGGGGAGGCTCCTTTCTCAGGTGCAGGTCTTAAAAGATGGGGTGCCAGATGTGTAGTCCGAATCCTTAGCTTCTCAGGGGGAAACTGGGAGCTGTGAATTCCCTCCCAGTTGTGTGTCACTGCGCTGGGGTTGGGGTTTATGACGAGAGTGTGTCTCAGCCCTCTTTGCTGTGGGTTGTGCGTGATTTTTTCCTTGCCTGGCGTGTAGGGGTCACTCAGCTAGTTGCTGGGCTTCTTTCAGAGGGAATCGCTCTCTATATAGCTGTAGACTTGGTGCTCCAGGGGAATAGGTGAGTTCAGGAGGCTCCCTGGTCGCCATCTTGAACTGGAACCTATTTATTTTTAAATATAGATTATTGTTGTTAGTACATATAAAAGCATATTTGGAAAAATAAACAAAGCTAATATACTCTCCAACCCTCCTTTTAACTGAATATTTTGACCTACCGAGGTGCCCAAGTATCTCACTTTATATATTAAGTTTCATCTATCAGAGGGGCCCCAAATCAGGAACTGCTCTTTTCAGTAGAAGAGGCTATAAAAATACATTCAGTAGAGGAGGCCAGCAAACATCTTTATAATACTGGGTTGTTGGAAAAGTCATGACGTATTTTCCTCTGTTTTTTGTTACAAAAATGCGTCATGACTTTTCCAACAACCCAACAGTAGCTCTTTCTGCATACACTCATAATGCCATCCTAGTGTCTTTCATCATCTCCTTGAACCCTCAACAACCTTAAGAGGCAGGTGGTATTAGTCCTGTTTTATAGATGAACCTATGGGCTTAGTGCTTTTTTCTTCCTTAAGGCCTACAGCCCACCCCCCCAACAATGGAGCTAGAGTTCAAATTGAGGTTTGTTCCAATTGAGGACTGCAAAGCCTGAGTCCTTTTCACTCAGCTGTGCTACCTCTTTATTGACGGTCCTCACATGTAAACTGACCTCTTGACTAAGTGGGTCATTTAACCCCCTCATTTACTTCCTGTCCATTGTTATCTGGCTGCAGTCCCCGCCTGTCCACAGAACTGCTCTCACTCCAGTGACATCACTGGTTGCTACACCCTTTAATTTATTCCATTTATTTTATTTTTTTATTTTTAATCAGTAATCTGAGTGACCGCCACACGCCAGGCATTTTGCTGGTGCTGGGATATGTTGGGGAACACATCAGACATGATCTCTGACTTCATATGTAGAATTTAATGGACAGATCCATATCAGATGGCACAAAGAATCAACTGTAACTGTTGAGTCAAAGAACACAGAGTGATACAGGAGCATAGCCCTGGCTCCCGGCGTTTTGTGCCTTGGCAGAGTGTGGGGCAGAGGGTCTTACTGCTATTGAGGATGCAGACTCCCACTTACTCTGTTCTTAGTGGCCTACCTCATCCTGCCCTCCTCAGGGCCCAGGCTTTCCAAGTGCAGTGCTTCTATGGCTCTCATCTCCATAGGATAAGCCTAAGTCAACTGTGTGAGGAGGGGGCAGGGTATAGTTACCCGAATATGCAGAATCAAGCTGGCCAGTGAGACTAACTACTCCTTTAAGCAATCAGTTCCCACCTGGGTCTTTTGCTCCTAAGCCTTTATGGAGTTCTCTAACAATGATCAATTTTGGCCTTGTCTTTCTTGTTTTTGTGTTCTTCCCACAGAGGAGGCGGCGGCAAAAACATCTTTACTTCATCATCTTGAAATCAATGTCAATTTACTTATCTGTTTCTCCCAATATTGTGATGTACTTGAGGATGGGATTAGCTTGGTATTCCTAGAGGAGCAAAATGCAAGGCACATCTTAGATGCTCAGTAAATATTTATTGAATGACTAATATTTTACATTTGTGTAACTATTTTGCACTCAACTGTATTTCCATTCATAAAGCCTCTATCAGATGATCAGGGCAAGTGGTATTCTCAGTTTTCAAAGTCATTTTTAAACTTAGTATCTATGACCAAATTAGTTGCTATACCAAAGGGTTGCATTCTCATTAGTGATCATGAGAAAGCCCTGGGCACAGGGTCGCCTCATTCCTATCCCATTAGTATTTGCCAGAAACCTCCCTGCCCTTCCCTACGATGAGTCATCAGTAGCAAGTCGGGTAGACTCACAGGCATTAAGATGGTATTTTGACTTTGAAAATGACTTCATCTGCCTTCCTGGTCATATTCTCTTCTCCCCCAATATACTCAGAACCTGATTTATACATCAGAGGTTCCTCTACAAAATATTTTGTTTTGTATGCCAGTCTCGGGAGCTTGGCCAAAGAGACTAAACAGCTTTGGGTGAAGGTGTGGCAATGAGACAGATGCAATGCGTTCAAGCTGTGGCTTATGACTTTCTCCTCGGATCCCAAATGCTAGAAACAACCCACGACTACTTTCCTATTTAGAACTATTCATCAAGTAGAACGCTGGGGCATTAATGGTATCAGGTTTCATTCACTTTTATAAAACCCAAAATGGTGAAAGGTAATATAGCAAGTCTCGTTACATCAGGGGAAAATGGTTAAAGGTAATGAGTCTCCTTACATCAGGGGCAAGACAAGCCCTTGTGGGGTAATGAGTGCGCTTGGCCGACTGCCCTGGCAGAGGTGGTCTCGCTGGTGAGGGCATATCCAGCCTGGAAATAGCTACCTGGGCACTACTGCCTTCCTCCTCTTCCCCCTGTTCATGGCAGAGCCCTAACAATGTCGGTTATAGCTAGGCTTATTTTACTTTATAAAATCTAATATGTGAATATTTTGAGAAATACTATTCTGAAATTGATATCAATTTAAAACTTTATTTGCTAGGCCTTAAAGGTTCAATTATGAAAATGAAAACAGACTAGACAGAAAGATCAAGGTTACACAGCGACCAGACTTCACTAGTATAAAGTATAGCTCTGGAAGGGAATTTTAGGTCATCAGGGCAACGTGCTTGATGGCAGGGAATGTCTGTCAAGACTCATGAGGACATGGGCCTACAACAATTGGCAGGGCTGAAAAGAGGACACAAACTCTCCGGGTGGCCTGCTCCAGCCCTCCCAAGACTACTTCAAGAATTCTTTATAGCTGCTCCATTCAGATTTTTATCTGCTTTTCCCAATATACTGGTTTTCCAACAGACGCTATTAGAAAATTGAATTTCATATAGAATTGAATATTCCATGGCCAGCATTTGTTTCCCACGGTTTACTTGGGACCTCTGTGGGTGGGATGGGGTGCGGTGGTAGAATTGTGAGTCGCTTTTATTAATCTAGGGAAAGGCACTGGTGGGACGTGGGCAGGAGAAAATGTTTTAACAAACTTATGGCAATGTTTAATGAAATTATTCTTCAGCATTACTCAGAAAATGGAGTTTGTTATTGTTTGTGGTCTGGGTGGAAAGACAAAATATTACTAATAGCTAATTTACAAGGGAAGAAAATTAATTTTGAAAGTACACTGAAAGCCTCTTACAAAAGATTGTTTTGGTAAAATAGGTCCAAGGTTCAATACCCTCACAAGTAACAATTACTGAAAAAGCAAATGAAGCTCATTAAAAGGCAGTCAGGCTACAGACTCTGAGAACAGTTCCAAGGGAGGCACTTCCCTGCAGAAGAGGGAACCAGAGATATGCTATGTGCCTACAACTGAGCTAGTTTTGGTCACTTGTGTTGATAACTGTTTGTTAGTTGGTGCCCAATGATAAAGAAGAATGGTTATTCTGTTGAGAAAACTGTGTCCAGTTACTAAGATGAGAACGCTAAGTGGAAGTCCTGATAGCACAGAATTTAGGAGAGTAATAGAGAAAACTCCATTCATGGCCATCTCTGCAAGGGTAAGAGAACCCTCATTTTGAGGACTAGCCCCAGCCTCCCAAACAAAAAAAGATCCCCAGAGGTGGGGATTTATGATATGTCTGTGGGACTTAGGGGAAACAGGTGCATAGATATGATTTGTATCTTTTTGATTGTATCTTTTAAATGGCATTTAAGTTTTTTAAAAGTAATAATGGAATTTTCGCTTTCCTTCTGGAAAGTCCTGGTTTCAAGAGTAATTATATGTAAATGAGAATGAACACGGAAGATCTATTAACAAGTAGATTCTTAGAATTCTGAAAAAAAGGAGAGCTACATTTTTCCTAGACTACTTTTGCAGCCATGTTTTTTTTAATCCTGAAGTTTTGGTAAGAGAATAGTAACATCAGTTAGGATATAACAATGAGTTGAATTTACCTCATTAAAATTCAGAAAAGGGTAGAGTAAGATGTAGCCAACATAGGACTACAAACAGATGAAGATAATACCAGTTATAGCAAAATAAAATAACACTGCCATATTTCATATTTTATTCAATTTTAATATGGTTTCCGTTATTAACTTTTAAAACAAAATGATTTCCAGTTTAGAAAACAATGCACTGACCACATAATTCCTTTTTCATTTTATACAGTTATACAAATATTCTAAATACACATTTTGTGTTCAACGTGATGGCAAATAAGATTAACTGTACAGTACATAAGGAAAGAAAATATTTAAGCATATTTAGAAGCAATAGAAATGTCTATACAAAACAAACAAAAATGGAATAAAACTTTTTATTTTTAAAGTATTGCAACAGGCCCACAGGTTTGTAACAAAAATGTCTTTGCACAGTTCCTCACAATGCCCCATTAATAGCTAAAGCAAGACAGCGGTTTTAGAAAATAATGTTTCAAAATGCTACACATGGTACTATTGTTTGCACAGTTTGATCAGAATAACAACTCTACTCTGAGTCAAGCAAAACCTAGAGGAAATATACCAAACAACTTGAAAATCATTTGTATAAAATTCATTGCACATTTTACTCAGTTGTTTGAAAAGTAAAAAAGTGTATTTACAAAATATTTCGCAGTCAAAATTATAAAGTGAGTGGATATCTCTAAGTAACACGTCCCGATACAGACAGTTCAAGGAAAACACGAATGGTTTTTTTAAAAGAGGTTTCAGTGCTCCTTCCACAGGGAAGTAATTATGATCTACTCAAATGGATTTACAAGATGTTACACATACTGGAGCAAATTCAACACCGGCATTATAAAACAATGTTAAAAAGGTGAAAGAATGAGGAATTTGTACATTGTAAGAAATGAGCTATTCAGAGATCAACAAGTACAATTTTTAATTCAGTTAGCATAAGTCTTCATAGTCTTCAGATAATAGACGGACAATGAACATACTTGACTCGATGAAAGTTGAAAAAGCACCATGCACGACAGTTGAGTGGTAAACACTGAAAAAAAAAATAGCACCTGGAATTCTGTGATATTGAGAATTTAAAACTGGTCTAGTAATTGCCGGAGATATGGTGCCTTGGATAATTCTCTATTTACTCGGGAGAGTTTGAAAAGTACTGGGCAGTTCAGAGAAACACATGGGATATGTCGATCAAAGCAACCTGTACAGTTCTTGCATATCTGAAAGTAGAAGAGGAATACATAAAACAATAGGAAAATCCCTATGTGTATGTGTAAACAATACACTTTTGTAATCCTTCCTTTCTGACCCACTGCAGATTATTGGTAAGACATATGACACATAATACGTTACAGAAGTTTCATTAATTATCATCTCTTTGAGGCCTAGGCTACCCTATGTTAAGACATTTCTAAAGGATATTAGAAATATCCACAAAACACAGAGCACGAAATTCCCTAAAGATAGATTCATTTCATTGCCGAGATCAACCTTCATTTACAGTAGAATCCTGTTATATTAAGATCCACGTAAATAAGCTATCCAATTACCATTTAAAGACTGTCTCTTAAGTGAGCTAAAACACTTTTTCCAAGTTACTCAGATTTATCTTTTTATATGACAATCATAAAAAAGTTATTCATTTTCTCATTTCAGAAGAGAAAATGTCAGTAAAAAACAAACAAACAAACAAACAAAAAAATCAAAGGATATGATTTTGAAAGCGGTGACAGACCAGGGGGTTTCTCAACCCTGGCTACACATGAGCTTAGAAATATACTAATGCCTGAGCCCCATCCCAGATCAGTGAATCAGAATCTAGGCACGTGAGCCTACAAATCTGTACTTTTTTGGACTCTCAGACAGTTCTGATGTATAAGATCTGATCTGAAGGAAAATATAAACCATAAGGTAATTTTTAAAGAAGATAAGCGTTACTTCTTACACAATGATCAGGTTTTCAACAATATGTAAAATCTCAAGTCACACATAGTTTAAAAAATATTAAACATGAGAAACATCAAAAAATTAAAAAAGGATAATAGTGAGGACCCCAAGGGTCAAGAAAGTACAGGCTGACTTTTTTACTTGAATAGTATATCCAAGTGATTTAAAAAAGGAATAGCAAGCAGTAGCTACTACTCTAGACTATTTTTAAGAGAAATCAAATCTGCTCTGGTTTATACTCTGACCCATATCAAAGAGCTTCTGCTTTAAAGACGTCTCGCAGGGCAGTACATTTCTGTTTGCTCTAGTATCTTCCAGCAAACCTAAGGGCCTGTTTTTCTGAGCCAATATTATGATATAGCCACAAGCAGACCGCTGAGAAATGTGTGCTTCGGGGTGCTGGAAGACTAAGTATGCTGGAAGACTGTGATGCATTTCACTAATTAGATCTCTGCCAAGAGACTCAAATCTATTCCCAAATATAGAATTTCTGTATTACAGCTCTCTGTACTGCAGGTGCCAGGACACATTGATAAATATTTATGCACTCTCTGTGCCCGTCTGACAGATAAGGCAGGGTGGAATTACTTGGCTCACTAAATTTAACTCAATGTTTAGTTTGCAGGTCCTTTACTGATGATTTAAACCCTGAGCATTATAGCTCAATTCTGCTTACATTTAAAAATTTAACCACCACAACCTGGACATTTAGTTTGTAGCTCATAAGGAGGCAGGCATTTAAAAAAAATATCTGCTTTAATCTTTATTGATTCTTTCTTTTTTCTATCCTTTGGCTGGCTTTCTTATTGTTTCAAAAGTTTTCTGTCAGATGCTTAATTCATTTATTTTCATTCTTTCATGTCCACTACTAAAAGTGTTTGAGGTGATGAATCTTTGAGATCTGCCATGTTTACAATCTTATAGGTAATGTTTGTTTAATAGGCAGTGTTAAGATTTCCAAGTGGAAGGATTATTTTGTTTTCTGAGTTTATAATTATTACTAGTTTTATAGGATTATATTAATAAGATGTTTGTAATATTTCTACTTTTTGAAATTTATTAAGGTTTTCTTTACAGAATAAGATATGGTCAGTTTTTTAACATCTCTAACACTTGAAAAGAAGGTGCAGTCTCTAATACTGGGTTACTACCTTACAATGTCTAGATCTTCCATAAGTGTTCTTATTTCTGATCACTTGGTTGGTCTTGGGCTGAGAGAGGTATAGGAAAATCTCCTATTACTAATGTTTCTGACCATTTCTCATTACATCTCCTGTAATTTCTGCTTTATGAAAATACTACAGATTATTTAGTGTTCAAGAGACACACTTTTTAATTCTTTAAAAACAAAAACCTCTAAAGTTAAAAATCTCTCTTGAAAGATGATGAACCATCCTTATTTATAACCAGCACCACTTCTTTTAAGGTGCATTTTTATAAGAAATAAGACCTCCTATTGAGGGAGAGTTCTGGTTAAATTGATGGCACCGGCTTGTGCAGCGTATGTCGCTGAGGGCAGAGGACAGCAAGGTCCAGGAGACTGCGCTCAGCCTCCAACTTCAGTG